ATTTTATTATTATTATTATTATTATTTTTTTTTTTTAAGATTCCACACATAGGGAATTCCTTGGTGGCTCAGTTGGTTAAACATCTACCTTTGGCTCAGATCATGATCCCAGGGTCCTGGGATTAAATCCCACATTGGGCTCCCTAGGGAGCCTGCTTCTCCCTCTGCCTTCTGCTCCCCCAGCTTGTGTTCTCTCTCTCTTACTCTCTCTGACAAATAAATAATATTTAAAAAAATATTCGGGGCGCCTGTGTGGCTCAGTGTGTTGAGTCTCTGCCTTCAGCTTGGGTCGTGATCTCGGGGTCCTGGGATCGAGCCCGGCATCGGACTCTCTGCTCAGCGGGGAGCCTGCTTCCTCCTCTCTCTCTGCCTGTTTCTCTGCCTACTTGTGATCTCGCTTTAAAAAAAAAAAAATTCAACACAGAGGAGATCATACAGTATTTGTCTTTGTCCATCTTACTTCACTTAGCATAATGTCCTCAAGGTCCATCCATGTTGTCACAAATGGCAGGATTTCCTTCTTTCTCATGACTGGATAATATCCCATTGTAAATAGATACCACATCTTCTTTATCCATTCATGCACACGTGGGACCTGTTAAAATGCAGATTATGATTCCTGTGGTGTAGAGGCAGGAGTCCGAATTTCCAGCAAGTTCTAGGTGTTGCTGGACATGCTGGCCCAGAGCTCACACTCCCAGGTTGCTGGAAATTTGGCCCTGGTGCTGTTCTTTAATGAGATCCTCAAGTCCTTGTCCAGTTGTTTTAAGGATCATCTGCTACTACTAAGGACGTGCAGGATAATTTTAAATTATTGATGGAGGGATCTTACAAAGAGACCACATCTCAAGGTTAAAGTCAGACAGTAACTTTTAAGGGCCTCAAATAAATACCAAGAATCTATGAAGTCACAGACTTTCCTTTGATTTGTTCTTGCTTGTAGCACTTCCCTCCAGACACGACACTGGGTATTCAGGAAGGAATAAAATGAGAGGAGCAATTCACCACTTCCTGGCAGGAAGCCCGGCCGGTGGGTGAGCGGCTTATTCCAACGCTTAGGAAAGGGACCCACATCCGCTGGGTTTATAGGGAGCTATGCGGCAGGGCTCTGTTTCTCAGGTTCTGCTTGTGTGTGCCCCAGATTCCAAAAGCCTCTTAAAGCCACACGATACTATCGATTTTGATCATCCCATTCTCTTCCCAAGCACCAATATATATCACTACCCAATTTAATTTCTACCAGCCATGTTCTAGTTTTCATTGATTAAAGCATAAACCATACGTTCAAATCTGCCAGTTCATTTCTGTCATCTGAACAAGATGTCAAGATCACTCTCTACCCCTAAATGCAACAGAAGGAAAAAACAAACAAAAAACAAAAAACAAAAAACCACGTTTGTATGGACACATCAAAAGAATTCCTGCAAAGCATACTGACCGGATTTGGTGGTATACCCTCGGAGTCCTCAGGGATACAAAAGTCTGAAATTCTTTCTATGGGCAAATCCTTTCCTTCAAGTTATTCCTTCCCTGGTGTGATCCCAGAAAACACCAAAAAACCACAACAGTGTCAATTAGCAACACACCCGTCTTTGTATGTGCCGCTGGCGATGGTACCAGTGAGCTTCTCTCTGTTTCAGTCCACACGCATTTACTGGTTCTGACATTCCAGACAGAGCATTGTTCGAGGTATGAGGAGATACACAGAAATGGTCAAGGTCCCTGCCTCATGAAGTTTACAATCTAGAGAGAAAAGACATTCTCCAACAGCGATTGCAAAAGGCTGGGGAATGACCAACAGCCAACAAGAGCCGTAGATCCTTCTGGGTTGTGGTATCTGGGGGCAGGACAGGGAGGGTCTGGATGGGCTGAGAGAGAGGAAAAGGCTGTCGCACCTAAAGGCACGTCACCGTTAAGTCACAGGGTCAGAAGAGCTCATGCCTCCAATGGGGAGACCCGTGAGCAGGAGGGCAGACTCTGTTACAGAACTGGGAATAAGGTTGAAATCTTGGCTGGCGTCCTATGGTCGAGGCTGTTGAGCTTGACTTTCATGCTTTGTCAACAGAGACAGTACAGGGTGTGGAGATGGTGAGTGCTCAGCCCCAGAGTCCATTTTGGAAGACGAGCCGGCGGAGCTGGTAGAGCTGAGGGAAGAGGTTATTTCAAGTATCGAGGAGAGGAACGAACTGACAGATGTTAAGGTCCTCTATGTGGATACTCTGCGGCGCTAATGTGCAAGAGTGGGGCAAACACCCACACCCAAACCCAACCCCCAAACCAAAAACAGGGAAAGGATTGCAATATCCCATGAGAAGGGAAAGGAAGAGTTGTATATACAAGGTTGGATAAAAACGACCAACTGAACACAATTCTTTACGGAATACTGAAACTCTCGAGGCACGAAGCCAGGGTACGAGGAGGCCAGTGCTGTCCCACCCTCTCCATCTTACGGGCTGCTCTGGGTGGCAGGTCTCATCTCTTCTATACCCCTTCCTCCAGGGGCAGCACGGGGATCTGCGACGTAGGCTGGCCCTGCTCCCAGCAAACCCTGCCACTCACCGCAGGCCCACACCTTAGCAGCAAGCATGTGGCTGTGAAGGATGGCGGGGGGGAGAGCTCGAACTAGCAATGGAGGACTTGGGAGTCACGGGCAGTGTGCACTCAGGGTCGTTACAAGGAAGCCGCGGTAACCACTGCCTCATCTTCAGAAAGATTCTGAATTGAGAGGTCTCCTGAGGGGGCTGGCCACCATCAAAGTTTGGTGACCCGATGCTTAGTAGACAGTCAGGAAATTGCTATTAACCAAACTACCAACCAAATTTTTAAAAAACAGCCCTAGATGCTTATTAAAGGTAATTTGTCGAATATACTTGTTTTGTCTTTCTCCTCCCAATTCCAGTTTGTTGACATAACTTTGAGGATTCGTTATTGCAGGGAAAAAAAATAGGATGGATGCTGAAAATAATAAGCATTGGTCACAGGCCAGCCTATCGACAGCAAAGCAATCAGTGATTTCCAGAACATCTTCATTGTTGCACTAAGATACCCGGTTTGGGTTTGTAACTAAGATGACCTTTCCCACATCTCTGACGCTGACTGATGTGCATAAAGAAGGAGTGCATCTTGTAGTACTGATACCACACGAAATCCAATTCCAGTGTCTTTGCATGTACTTTCATAAGAATAGAGCAAAGAGCTACTACCCCAGACTCAAAAGCAGGTAAAAAAAAATGCTTCCAGATACAGTGGTTGGACTTGAATGTCATAGAAGAACAGTTTGGTGGGAAAACATTCAGGGAGTGCCTCCCAGGAGCCAGGGTTAGCCCTTGGGTGGTGGTGGGGAGAGAGAGGGACAGTGCACAAAGACAAGACACAGTCCTTGTCCCTGAGCCATGCAGAGTTCATGCTCCCTGGGCAGAAGGCACACTTTTGTCTACTGGTGCACAAACAGTGACAGGGCAGGACATGGGTGCTCTCACAGAATGGCCTTTCTAACGTGCCGGAAGAAGATGGTGTAAGAATCGGGGGAATGGGAGTCAAATCCGTGGAGTCTGGGAGCGAGAGAAATGACACTTAACTTGAACTTTTTAACATGTTTAAGGCTACCAGACTCAGAGACACAACTCAGGTTGTAAACACGGTGCAAGCAGATGTGCATGGGTTATCAAGGAACCCTTGGAGCCAGGCACCCTCATGGAGGTCAGGATACCCCCAGGACCTGGGGCTTCTCTTAGCTTAGGGCCTCTCCCAGATCAATTTGGATGAGGAAATAGATACAAAACCACAGGGTTGTTATGCTCCAAGTCTGTCAAATGTGTACAAAGCAAAACTGAGAAAGCCGTGCCCCCAAACTGTTACTCTTGGGTAGGTGTAAGTGGCGAGAATATGGCTGATTTTAACACTGCACATGTATTTATTTGTATTTTTATATTGTGAATTTTCTCAGTGGAGGCATAGTACTTATTAAGTGTATTTTCCCAATTATATAGTTCTTGCTTTATTATCACATAAATCAGTCTTTCTGATTCCAAAAGCAGTACACATACGCACAAATACACACATTTGAAAAAGACTGCAATAAAAACCAGAAAGCAAAACTATGTGCTCTAACCCCAAAGATAACCTCTGTTAACCTATAGGCGTATTTGTCTGCTTTGTGCACACACAGGCATATATATTACTTTTGTTATCACAACACTATATATAAATGCTAGGCATATAAATGAAAGTAGGAGGATCCTTTTCTGCTTCCAACGCTCTTTAAACACAAATATCTCAGTGACAGTAAGACATCAGTGGTATCTTTGTCCTTTTATTCATGGAATACAAGCACCAGGAGTAACATGGGCGGCCCGTGGTCTCTGATGCTGCAGTGGTCCTGGGCCGGGACAGGACACGTGGCTGTTACCGGGGCCATTTAAAAGGCACTTTTTAGGAGAAAGAAATATCTCCTCCAGAGGGACTTCTGCATGACCAGCCCAGCAGACAACTTTGCCTCCCTCTGACTGTAGCTCCTGCTGCTTCATAATACAGGTCAGAGCTCTGGGAGCCTATCCTGTCATCAGCTGGTGGGTGGGGCTGCTGCGAGCCCAGAATGCTGGTGCCACCTGACATCTAGCGGAGTGTGTGGTGTGTGGGTGGTTTCCCCACCTGAGGTCTTACCCAAGCTTTTGCAGCCAAACATTCTGTACAGGCAGAGCCACATAAGAGCCGAGGGGGGACGAGGTCAATGCCATCCAGGTATAGGGGCACAAGGAACTGAGGCGCCTGGGTGGGGGTGACCAGAACAACATCCCCTTATGGTGGCCACCTCTGTTCCTGGGAGGTCACCATGACAGCGTGTCAGGAGGCCCAGGGATAGCTTCGCACTTCCTGCCAGGTTGAGTGTGGGGCACGCTGGCCACGATGGGGGGCCTGATCTTCCAGGCCGGTGAAAGTCACGGTCTTCAGGGACCGAATGAGGCCAAGGCACCATTGCGCGAGCAACCCGAGAGAGACAGAGAGAGAGGCGTGTGGAGGTGGGTTGCTGTGAGGTGGAACCGCCCTTCTACCTGTCGGGGAGCAGGGGCCAGGAGAAGGGCCGCTCCCCGGACAGCTGGGAGCCGTACCCAGAAGGCTGCTCTCAAGACAAGTCAACATGGCCACGTGCGGAGACCCACGGGGGCCCCAGGATGGCGAGTGAAGCCCACGGCAGAGGAGGCTGCACTGGGCTTCGGTGCAGAGGCAGGCTCGGGGGAAGAACCACACGGGTCGTAATCCCGCAAGCGGGCCCCTCACTGGTGGTCAAATCTGCGAAGCCGCTGCCTTCTCATTTCTTCTTCTGGTGAGAGATGGAACCCGTAGGGCGGGGGGCTCGGCCCGCTGGTCCCTGTTGGGAGAAAGCACAAGGGAAAAATTAAAGACTGCCCATCCATCGTTCTGACATGTACAGGGCATTGTTTCCGAGGATTTCAAGGGGGAAGAAAGACTGATGGCTTGGGTGTCATCTTTATTTTAGCACGAAGCAGAAATATAACAAACATATTTCAACCTCAGCTGTCAATACTTAATTTCAACATCAAGTAAATACTTTTAGTGTGGTCCAGTCTACAAATCTAATCCACTCATTTCAAAGATTCTTGACAAAAACCCTCATTTTTTTCCCCCCATCATTCTTTGTAATTTACATCATCTCATGTCTATAAGGTCCCCAGGGCTTATTTATTTTTTTTACGCCCAGAAGTTGCTGTTTCTAACTTCCCCACCAAGTATGTGGTTTGGTGTTTCTTCATCAGCCTTCGGTCCTCCCTCCTCTTTCTCCCTCTGCCCGGTGGCCTCCTGCAGCCCCTGACGCCCACCCCAGCGAGAAGGAATCATGTCTGCTTGAAACACACACATGCCACTGAGCACCAGGGGCCACAGAACAGGGGCCCAGTTACCACAATGACCATTAACTGGGGAGGCAGAAAAAATGCAGCCGTAACATCTAAAAATTATATGAAAGACCATGGACATCGTTCCTGAAAAGGGTTTCTGTTCATTCTCCAAGAGCGGTGCCTTCTCCAAGATGTTCCCAGGTCATGGGAATGGATAGAATGATTATTAAGAAACACTACGGTGAAAAAATGTTAGAGAAAGTCCAAGAAACTAAGCAGCCTTCTCACAAAGGAAGACAAACAGTGCAGGACATCACCTCCCTGTGGAACCGGAGAAACCGAGCCTGGGAAAGCAGAGAGTGGAATGGCAGTTCCCCGGGGCCGGAGAGCTGCTGTTGAAGGGTGCAAGTAAGTAAGACCTGGAGATCGAAGGCACAACATCGTGACTATAGTCAAGAATACGGTATTACAAACTTCAAGGTTGCTAGGAGACCCAATCAACTGTTTTCAACACAAAAAAGGAGCTGATAAGTGTGTGCCATGTACAAGGGCTGGCTGACGCTCCTGAGGCAATCATACCACAATATACAAATGTAATAAAGCAGCACGTACACACCTTAGGTTTACACAATGTTGTATGTTGGTTACAATGGATTAAAAAAAAAAATTGATGAGAAAAAAACCAGTCTGCTCAGTCTACCACTAGAACTTCAGTGGTCAGATGACGAGAAATTTTCAAAAGGCAGGCAAAAGGTAACTCCTCTTTCATTTTGTTTCTTCCCCAACATGCACCCCTGTTTGGTTCTTTCTTTTTGAGACCATGGGAGAAGTACCCCCTCACTGCAGCCATTCCTGCCTAGGAACCCACACGTGGGCTGGGCAGGCCTGGCCACGTGCTCACTCCTGCTGGCTACACTCCGCTCCAAGGGTTTTTGGGACAGCATAACCTACGTCGATTCATCAACCTTCGTTAAGGATGACACTCAAACATAGAACGGGCTTGTAAGACTTTCACCATAAGGAGAATACTACTGAATACTATTAAGACTGAAGTTTAACTGGATACAGTTTTGGCTTATGTATCTGAAAAGGAATTTTTTACAAAGAGGCAAACGCCTTGAAATTACAGAAAGTGGTGCCTGGGTTGCTCAGTCAGTTAAGTGTCCGACTCTTGATTTTGGCTCAAGTCATGATCTCAGGGTCATGAGATCGAGCTCTGCTTTTGGCTCTGTGCTTAGTGGGGAGTCTGCTTCTTTCTCCCTCCCCCTCTGCCCTTCCCCTTGCTCTTGTTCTCTAAAATAAATAAATCTTTTTTAAAAAAAGAAGTTACAGTGAAACTCATGAATCCAATTACCATTAGTTATTGCTTAAATCTGTTGTATATGATGCGCGCCAAATCCAGCTTTCCCTTTGACAGTTGTTTTCGCAATAAGACGGTTCTTCACGGTGAGTGCAGGCTAGTACGTGACACCCGTTCCAGCAGGCAGGGAGCCTTGAGGGAGAGCTGTGGGCAGGGTCGGAGGCAGGCTAGACGTGGCGTGTTGAGTGTGGGCCACGGGCCATGAGCCCGTGGAAGCTGCAAGAGTGCTCAGAATCCCAAAGGGAGTCACCGTGTCCGCAAGAGAAAGCCCGAGAATGAACATTCCCATGGAGGGAGGGACACAAGGCTGCAGACCGAAGGCTCCTGGGGTCCAGTTTTCGAAATGAGCAGCCCACACACGTGTACTCTGGACTCGGCTCACAGGGCATCCGGGGAGAATGGGGCTGAGCAGAAGGATGCACCATGTACTGAAGCCGACAGCTCACATCAAGTCCTTTTAAGGTGCCATAGGTCAGTCAGCCAGCTCTCGCTGCCAATTTGTGATCCCAAGTTTACAGATGAGTGAGCTAAGGCTCAGAGAGCATTAGGGACACACATAAGGTCACGAAGCCAGCCCATGGGGCAGCAAATCTTGCACTTGGGGCTCCCACCCCCTGTCCCCACAACCCCACATCACCGTCATCTCCTCTAGCCATCTTGCCAGCCCGTGCACTCCTGCCCAAACCCAGACAGGTATGTGCAGAGCTCATGCGATCCGGAAAGAGGAAAGAAGAGGATCCAGCCCAAACTCGTCCACTCTACAGGACTCTGCTGTCACCACAGACATGACTACAAAGTTCCCGCATGGGTCCCCTTAATTTCCTGGCTTTCCAGGACCAGCAGAGGGCCCTGGTTCTAACAGTACCACCACAACAACACCTGATTTGTAATCAGGCCTGATGTGTGGGCATTTAAAATCCTTCAACCTCAGTGTTTCTGGTATCACCAAAGCCACCCCAGTCTCTGAAGAAGGCCTTGATCGCTTCATTTCAGGCTCTGTACACTCTACTGTCCTTAATCCCAGGGGTTAATTACTTTGGAAAGTTCTCAAGTGTAGATTAATCTGTGCTGTTCTGGAGACAGTAACATATTTGGTGTCAGTCACAAATGACACCATTTGTCACGTCTGGGCTTTCAGTCAGTGCCACCCTGGGGACAAGGCCTCTGCAGTCCAATTCAAGTCTCGACTAAGCTCTGTCTTCCGAACCCCTGCTATTCACTACTTTTAAATTCGCTTCTAGGTTTCTGTAGTTTTCGGTTGCGTGACGTGATCTATTACTTCTCTCTGCAGCCCCCAGGATCCCCCTCAGGCATTCCTCGAAAAGTCTTAGAAGTGGTTTCAGTCTGTAGTTATATTTATTAAGTCCTTGGAGAAGATGTAGACAGGCCTCTGTGGGGTGGTAGGAGGAGACGCAGTCCACTCCCCAGGATGTCCGGGGATGTCAGGGCAAAGGTGTTGGGAGGGCATCAGGAGAAGCTTCCAGGCCTACCTGGAACCAGAGTGTAGTGCACAGGCAAGTCTCTGTTTCGCAGCTTCTGGGGGGCTCATGTGTGAGGGGAGGCTGCCCAGCAAGGTGACTGCAGGGTCCTTCCCACCACGGTGCAGTCTGACTGCTCGGGACTAAATTCCAACCCCTCTATTTTTAACTAGACATCCTGGAGCAAGCTGTTTACCTTTACTTGGTCTTAGTTTCCCTATCTATAAAAAGGGACAAAAGAGAAATTCACTCCCTGGATTGTTGAGAGGCAAGGAGAGAAATGTTGCCCATAAAATGCATAGCTGAGGACTAAGCATGCAGTGAGTGCCTGATGAGGGCAGGATGTTATCATTTTTCATCTCTCACATCATCATGAATCATGCGTTAGATGTCTACTTGTTAGCATTGTGAACTAACTTTGTAGAAGATACACAATAAAGTGACAAAAACAGTGACTGCTCAGAAGACAGACCCCAAATCTGTCTGAAGCCAACTTGGCAACATTCCGTACAAAATGCAGACTTGCCTTCTAAGAAACAGACACGGACAAAAGGTAATTACCAACCTCCAGTGTGCCACAGCTTTTGTAACACAGAGGCGGCTTGTGGTCACTGGGAAAGCTGGCGGGCCCAGCCAAGACCTCCTTTTCTCGCTGAGTTAAATCATGCACTGAACATTTATAGGCCTGGGTGAGACAGCCCTGCTCTAGTGAACTCGGTACAGGATATCAGTATTTCTGAGCTCTGCCTCCGTGTCCCTGTAAATGGAGGTCAGTCCCCAATGTTACTCCAAGAAACAGTGAGCATGCGTCAAAGAACCTGAGGAACAATGCTCGTTTTAAGACGATTTAGCTCAATTACAAACACCAGTCATGAGATCATAAGATTTATGGATTCGTGGTTTTTGATGGAAAGATTTTCAGTTCTCTACCCTTATGTATAATGCAGTAACCTCTGCATTTTACATCTAAGGGAGGAGAAGCAATTTCATCCACATAAGAATTGCTAAAAAGAGCACCATGAGTTGATGGCCATTTTCCCTCCTGTTCGCCATCCCTGCAAGCAGAGATGTTTAATTTGCTGGTATTCAGAGATCTTGCCCATGATCTGATCAGCACTCTACACCATTCAGTGAAATTATACTGATGTGCGTCACAGGATGGCATATAATTCCCTTATACTAGGAAGCTAAAGAGGCAATCACTTTTTTTTAACCAGGAAACCTCTAAATAAATCACTAGTGTTCTCAGGGATTTCTACTGTCCAATGAGGGCAGAGCATGGAACCCGCATTCTCTCCTTTAAGAAGGTTACTTTATTAGAATTCCATGAATTACAAAGCTCCCAAAATGCCTTCTGAAAGGATGGTTGCTAAGTCATCTATGGACAAAGACTAAAAAGGCTGGAAAAAACTCCAAGCCCAGCAATTTGGCAAGACAGTCTTTGAAAAGGGGAAATACGTAAGGACACAAGACCACTTTGCTTTTAGAGTCACTGATTATAACCTCTATCTATCCATCTATCTATCTCTTTAAAAAGAGTCTGAAATTCACCTAAAACCTCATAACTCCATACAAACGGAAGCTTCATTATGGTTTACAGGAAAGATAACATTTAGAAGTGACTTGAGAGAGGAAATAATCCCATTTTGACTCCTCAACCATTCAAGTCAGCCAC